GGACGATGCATCAATTTCAACAGAGTCTCTCATCAGTGAACAAAGAACCAGAGACTGAAGACCAGAGACCGAAGACCAGGAACCAAAGAACCAGAGCCAAGAGACCAGGGACCAGAGACCCGAGACCAAAGACAAGAGACCAGGAACCAAAAAAACAGAGACCCGGGACCAGAGACCAGGGACCAGGCCTCATCACATCTGCAGGAAAACCAAAACTTTTAACAAATAATTTCTATTCTTATCTTTTTAATTCTACAAATTGCTCCACCACACACAGATATTGTTTTCTTTATTTGAAAATTATGTAAAATCTGGTTTGTTTCCAAAAATATTCCCATCATATTTTAACATCAATACAGCAGAACAGGAAAAAAAAAAAAAATTATTATTATTTAAAAATATTTTTATTTTTAATTCTACAAATCTCCATTTTGATTTTTTTCACCCGACCATGCACTTACATTGTTTTCTTTATTTAAATGTGATGTCAAATCTGGTTAATTTCCAAAAATATTTTTTTAGAATCTGCAAGAAAGAAAATCAGTTTTTGTAAATTTTTTTATATCATTTTATTTTTAACTCTGCTCCACCACACGCTTGCTTTATTTCAGAATTATGTCGAATCTGGTTTGTTTCTTGAAATATTCCCAGCAGATTTTAACATCGATACAACAGAACAAACAGGGAAAAAAATTAATAATAATAATATTTTTATCATTTTCATTTTCAATTTTACAATCTTCCATTTTGATCTTTGACCTCACCACTCATATTTTTTCTTTATTTACAAAAAAAAATGTACTTTTTTTTTTTTTTTTTTTTTTTTTTATTCCCAGCATGTTTTAGTGTCTCTATATATTTATTTATTTATTTGGGTTTTTTTTTTGGTTTTTTTTCCTGAATTCAACAAACATGTTTTCTTTATTTAAAAATTATATAAACTCTGATTCATTTCCAAAAATTATTCCCAACATATTTTGGTATTTGCTGAAAAAAAAAAAAAAAAATTCTACAAATCTCCATTTTGATTAATCTAATTTTGATGTATATTTAAAAATTCCAAAAAATCTGGTTAATAATTAATTTTATCTCTACAAACTTACATTTTAGCCTCTGTCACCGCACCACACACATTGCTTTATTTATTTAAAAATTCTATAAAATCTGGTTAATTCCCAAAAATGTTCCTTTTTTTATTTTTAGCATTTAAATTTTCTACTGGTCATACTTTAATTTTAGTCTCTTTCACCGCACCACATGCAGACATTGCTTATTTTATTTAAAAAATTAAGTCAAATCTGGTTCATTTCCAAAAAATCTTCTATCTTATTTTAGAATCAATAGAATAAAACAGTTTTCTTATTTTCACAAACTTTTATTCTGACCTCTTTGACTTCTTCTTAATCAAAAGCGTTGCCAGATCTGCTCGCTTAAAAGATCTTAAATATTCGGTGTATTTTTGAGCGTTGTGAGCGTTTTTTGTTTTTTTTTTCCCGGCAGCAGACGGACGCGCTCCAAAACCAAAATCCAGTGCAAATGTGAGGAGACAGCCCCGTGTGTTTGTGTGTGAATAATTCGAGCTTTTGGCGATTTGTACGAGTGCATCGTGTCCGAGGTTGTGGGTTAGATTCCGGGCGGAGAGAGTGTGAAGGCTCCGGGCTGGATCACTCACAAAACAGTGGATTGTCGTTTCGCTTCAACTTAATCTGGAGACTTTTACGTAATGGGATATTTGAGTTTTAAAAAGTGAAAAAAAAAAAAAAAAGACAAAAAATCTTTACTCCTATTAATAATACAAACAGTAAATAAAAACAAAAATGACATCCGTATTTATTTTTTTAATTTTTATTTTTTTTTTTACTTTTTGTATTTATTTTCAATTTTTATTATTATTATTTTACTTTATTAATTTTTTTACAGTCTATTTTTTGTATTGTCATTAATACATTAAAACATCTTTGACCTAAAATTAAGCCAAGGTATGATTTTATTTTTATTTTTTTTTATGTTGTTTTTATCCTTTTCAAAGAATTTTAAAATTACTCTTCTTTTAGTCTTTTTTATAGTTATTTATACATTTAAATTTTGCAATAAAATCCTAAGTCATGGTATGATATATATATTTTTTCCCCATCTTTTTTGAAAATTACCTTTTTTTTAATGTTTATGTTATAGTCATCAATACATTTAAACATTTTTGCACTAAAATTAAGCCATGGTATGATTTATTTTTAAAATGTTTTCAAAATGTACTTAAAAATTACCAAAAAAAAAAAAATTGCATATTTTTTGTATTTATTTTCGTTGTTTTTTTTTACTGTCTATTTTTATAGTCATTAGTAAATTTAAACATATTTTTGCACAGAATTTCTAAGACATGGTATGATTTTTTATTTTTTATTTTTTTTCTTTGTTATACAATTTTTTTATTATTTTTTTTTTTTTTACCAGACAAGTGAACTCACCCTGCAATAACCAAAATACACCATAACAAACAGGTTTTAAAGCACTTTTAAATTTGATCGAAATATTTTTCTGAAAGAAATGTGTCAAATGTAAAAGTGTTATATTTGCATGCTAGTGATTCAACACAAATGATCCAGGATGTTTTTAAGAACACAACAGTGAACAGAACTGTAAAAAAAAAAAAAAAAAAAAAAAAGTCAAAAAGAAAAAACAAGACACACTTAATCCCGGTATTTTCAAAACACAAGTGGCTGCAGTAGTAGTAGTAGTAGTAGTAGTAGTAGTAGTAGTAGTAGTAGTAGTAGTAGTAGTAGTAGTAGTATATACTTCTCAGGGTTGTCCGTTGTAGTACTATTGAACCTGCCTCTTTGCTGCACACATTGAATTTTTTATTTTTTTTTTCCATGTTCACGTGTTTTCCGTTGTAAATAATAATAATAATAATAAGTTGTGTAAAACTAATAATAATTTTTTTTTAAAAAGGAAATTAAACTTAGACAAACTTTACTGATCCTCAAGACAAAAGTATTTGGACACATTCGCTCACACCTCACGTTATAATATAATAAAACTAAACTAAACTGGTGTCAAATAAAACATAATTATATAAAATGTAAATGTACAAGTCACAATAAAATAGAAAATAATAAGAAATAAAATATAAAATCTGAGTTTTAAACGAGAAAATGAACTCGTGACTTTGGCGTAAACAGTAAAATCTGATTTTCATTGACTCCATACGTGTAGTTTTCGTGTCAGATTCAGGTGGTCGTGGATCCAGATGATAAAGCGTCACCATCATCATCGTCATCGTCAGTCGTCCTCGTCGATCTTTGTGAGCCGCAGTGACACGCGCGCACGTTAGCGTTAGTATTAGCGCCGCCCGTGGCTCCGCCCTCGTGTCTCGTCGCTCTCGGACATTCAGGGTTTTTTTTTCTGTGTCCGAGTTTTCAGGGCAGAGCTGTGATCACGTATCACCCCCCGTCACCCCCTCTCCCCACCCCCCCTCACTCCCCCCCCCCACCCCCCCGTGGTAACTGAACGCCCCCCAGACCCCCCCCCCCACCGGGCCTGTCGCGTCATACACTGCAAAAATATAACGTGAAAAAAGAATTCAACTTAACATTTAAATAACTCTAATACTTAAGAATTATTTATTTAACAATTTTAAGTTTGAACACAACACATAAAGTGTTTTTTTCTACTACTACTACTACTACTACTACTACTACTACTACTACTACTACTACTACTACTACTACAACAATGTTTGTCCCCATATGTAAGCATCTTTGTGTATCTTGAAATGCGTTATACAAGTGTACAACTACTACTACAAGTACTATTACTACTACTACAAGTACTACTACTACTACTATGACTACTATCACTTCTACTACTTTGAATAATACTATTACATCTACTACTACTACTACAACTACTATTACTACTACAGCTACTACTATTAGTACTACTACTACTCCTACAACAACTACTGCTACTGCTACTACTACTACTACTACTACTACTAGTACTACCACCACCATTACAGTTACTACCAGCATCTACATGTTTTTCTATAACTACTTTCCAGTACACGTTTACTACTTTTACTTTTCATAAACAGACAGAAGAAACACAACAAAGTTTGTGTTGACAGGAGACTGGTCACGTTTGTTTGGTCAAAAGTTTGGACTCACCTGCAAGCAGCAGCAGCAGCAGCAGTAGTAGTAGTAGTAGTAGTAGTAGTAGTAGAAGTAGAAGTAGATACTTACATAACACTTGTAGTGCTTTTTAAGATTCCCAAATTTACTGTACACAAACATAGAATAGTAGTTTTAGTAGTAGTAGTAGTGGTATTAGCAATAATACATCAAACTTTAAAGCACTTTTCAAGATACTCAAAGACTCTTTACATAAAGGACGAACAGAGAATAGTAGTAGTATGAGTAGTAGTAGTAATAATCGTAATCGTAGTAGTAGTAGTGACAATAACACATAACAGAATGATAGAGCAGAGTCTATTGTACTTGTGTCTTGTGTTGGTTTAGTATTTTTACAGTAGTAGTAGTAGTAGTAGTATTAGTGGCAGTAATAGTAGTAGTAGTATTAGTAGTAATATTAGCAGTAGTATTAGCAGTAGTATTAGTAGTAGTAGTAGTAGTAGATGTTTTACATGGGGGATAAGCGTACAATGGTAGAGCAGAGACTTTTGTCCTTGTGTCTCTTGCTGGTGCAGGATTTTTACAGTAGTAGTAGTAGTAGTAGTAGTAGTAGTAGCAGCAGCAGCAGTTGAGCAGGAGTAGTATTTGTAGTTGTAGTAGCACTAGTACTAGTAGTAGTAGTAGTAGTAGTAGTAGTAGCAGTTGTAGTAGTGACAACAACACAGAACAGAATGGTAGAACAGTCTATTGTCCTTGTGTGTGTTGTCTTTGCAGTACTTTGTCTGGTGTATTTTTACAGTAGTAGTAGTAGTAGTAGTAGTAGTAGCAGTAGTAGTAGTAGTAGTAGTAGTAGTGACAATAACAGAATGTTAGAGAAGAGTCTATTGTCCTTGTGTGTGTTGTCTTTGCAGTACTTTGTCTGGTGTTGTAGTATTTTTACAGTAGTAGTAGTAGTAGCAGTTGTAGTAGTAGCAGTAGTAGTAGTAGTGACAATAACAGAGTGGTAGAGCAGAGTCTATTGTCCTTGTGTCTTTGCAGTACTTTGTTGTGAGTGTAGTATTTTTACAGTGCCGTGTCGGTGAGTGTCCCCTGCTCCTCCTCAGATGGACGTGTCATGTAGATCTCGATGACAGGCTGGAGACGGCACCTCCGGCGTCGCCTCGCTCCCCCGAAAACACCACCACCGCCACCGCCAACGCCGCCACCGTAACCGCCGCCGCCGCCGCCGCCGCCATGTTTGAAGTTTGAAGTTTGATCAGGACTGGTGATTATCAGAGCGTTAGACTCCCCAGGACACGCACAGAGGACACAGAGGACACAGAGACACAGAGGACACAGAGGACACAGAGACACAGAGGACACAGAGGACACAGAGACACAGAGGACACAGAGACACAGAGACACAGAGGACACAGAGGACACAGAGACACAGAGACACAAGAGACACAGAGGACACAGAGGACACAGAGACACAGAGACACAGAGACACAGAGACACAGACACAGAGGACACAGACACAGAGGACACAGAGACACAGAGACACAGAGACACAGAGACACAGACACAGAGGACACAGAGGACACAGAGGACACAGAGACACAGAGACACAGAGACACAGAGACACAGAGGACACAGAGGACACAGAGGACACAGAGGACACAGAGGACACAGAGACACAGAGGACACAGAGACACACAGAGACACAGAGGACACAGAGGACACAGAGGACACAGAGACACAGAGGACACAGAGACACAGAGACACAGACACAGAGACACAGAGGACACAGAGGACACAGAGGACACAGAGACACAGAGACACAGAGACACAGAGACACAGAGACACAGAGAGAGACAGACACAGAGGACACAGAGACACAGAGACACAGAGACACAGAGACACAGAGGACACAGAGGACACAGAGGACACAGAGACACAGAGACACAGAGACACAGAGACACAGAGACACAGAGACACAGAGACACAGAGACACAGAGGACACAGAGACACAGACACAGAGGACACAGAGACACAGAGAGACACAGAGGACACAGAGACACAGAGACACAGAGACACAGAGACACAGAGACACAGAGAGACACAGAGACACAGAGACACAGACACAGAGACACAGAGACACAGAGACACAGAGGACACAGAGGACACAGAGACACAGAGACACAGAGGACACAGAGACACAGAGGACACAGAGACACAGAGACACAGAGACACAGAGACACAGAGACACAGAGACACAGACACAGAGACACAGAGACACAGAGGACACAGAGACACAGAGGACACAGAGGACACAGAGACACAGAGACACAGAGGACACAGAGGACACAGAGGACACAGAGGACACAGAGACACAGAGACACAGAGGACACAGAGGACACAGAGGACACAGAGGACACAGAGACACAGACACAGAGACACAGAGGACACAGAGAACACAGAGGACAGAGAACACAGAGAACACAGAGGACACAGAGACACAGAGACACAGAGAGACACAGAGGACACAGAGGACACAGAGACACAGAGGACACAGAGACACAGAGGACACAGAGACACAGAGGACACAGAGACACAGAGACACAGGACACAGAGACACAGAGACACAGAGACACAGAGACACAGAGGACACAGAGACACAGAGGACACAGAGGACACAGAGACACAGACACAGAGACACAGAGGACACAGAGACACAGAGACACAGAGGACACAGAGACACAGAGACACAGAGACACAGAGACACAGAGACACAGAGACACAGAGACACAGAGGACACAGAGGACACAGAGACACAGAGACACAGAGACACAGAGGACACAGAGACACAGAGACACAGAGACACAGAGACACAGAGGACACAGAGGACACAGAGGACACAGAGACACAGAGACACAGAGGACACAGAGACACAGAGGACACAGAGGACACAGAGGACACAGAGACACAGAGACACAGAGACACAGAGAGAGACACAGAGACACAGAGGACACAGAGACACAGAGGACACAGAGGACACAGAGGACACAGAGGACACAGAGACACAGAGACACAGAGACACAGAGACACAGAGACACAGAGACACAGAGGACACAGAGGACACAGAGACACAGAGGACACAGAGACACAGAGACACAGAGGACACAGAGACACAGAGACACAGAGACACAGAGGACACAGAGACACAGAGACACAGAGGACACAGAGACACAGAGACACAGAGACACAGAGACACAGAGACACAGAGACACAGAGACACAGAGACACACCACAGGGGACACAAGAAACTTACACATGCTTTGTTCCTCTCTGCAGTAAGAGGAGCAGTAGTAGTAGTAGTAGTATTTGTAGTAATACATAACACGTATAGCGCTTTTCATGACACCAAAAGACTCTCTACATAAGGAACAAACATAGTATGTGAGGTAGTTGTAGTAGTACTTGTAGTAGCAGCAGTAGTAGTAGTAGCAGCAGTAGTGTTAGTACTTGCAGTAGTTGTAGTAGTACTTGCAGTAGTTGTAGTTGCAGTAGTAGTAGTAGTTGTAATAGCAAAATTTGTATAGCACGTTTATTTCAAGATACTCAGGTCAACTTTACATAAGGGGAAAAACACAGGATAGTAGTAGTAGTAGTAGTAGTTGCAGTAGCAGTATTAGTGTATTAGTAGTAGTTGCAGTAGCAGTAGTAGTAATAATAATACATAACACATGTATAGCGCTTTTCAAAATACCCAAAGACACTTGACTTAAGTGACAAACAGGACTGTAGTTGTACTTGTAGTAGTAGTAGTAGTACACTTGTATAACTCAACTTTGTTGAAACACTGTTGTAGTAGTAGTTACAGTAGTAGCAGTAGTTGTAGTAGTAATAGTAGTAGCACGTAACACTTATGTAGTGCTT